CGTAAGCGAGCGATAGGATCCCGAACTGAGTGCCGAAGTCTCCCAAATAGTTGAGTCCAACCACGCGATGGCCGCAGAATCGGTGAAAGTTGGCCACAAAGTTGCCGATAATAGTGGACCTGTAGTTCCCCACGTGGAAGGGTTTAGCTATGTTTGGCGACGAGAACTCCACGACCACTGGTTGGCTACCATCGTGTGGTGGACACCCGTATCCACTCGAGTCTGAGCTGTTGTTCAGTGTATTCGGGCCATAAGTTTGCGATAATTTGTCGCCTTTTAAATCGTGTATTAATTGCTGTTTTTGTGAGAGATATAGGTTTGTGTGAATGATATGTGTTTTTGTGGATCTATTGGTGGTGACCAACCGTCACATAAAACCGGTCGTCGATGTCCAACAGTATCTTGTGATCTGATCCGTGGGTCGAGTCATCCGGTGATGGATTGGTCTCCAAACGGATTCGTGTAATGAATGATAGCTTTAGTTGTAATGAGAAATGCATTTAAAGATGATTTTGGGTTTAACTCTCAAAAAGCACTTACTTTTGACAATAAATTGGTAATAATTTGCGAAAATTCATGATTAGAGTTGTGGTTAATATCTGTGCCATTGATGTCAATATAAAACTTATGATCATTTGACTCATTTGACACTATTTTCGTGGTCTTAATTGATTTATAATTGAATTTAAAATCAGTTGTCAAGTGATGTCTCATATGATGGCAAATCAATTGCTTAATCGTCAAAACCATTGCCCATAAAGTTGTTAACAAATAATAATCTCTTAATAATCAATTAGATATTATAGGAATCTAATTAATGTAACTAATCTAACCTTAATTATGTGTTTAAATGTTTGCTTTATTTATTGCAATTGTTTTTAAAAACAAAAATACAAATTTAAATGCAAACATGTATTACGCAATGCGGTTGTTATGACAACAGTCAACATACAATGGACACGTGGGGCCCTCTGCTGCCCAACAAAACACACACACATTATAGCGATTGAAACTTTAATTCAATAAATTTTTATTAATCACTTGTTTAAACACTAGATTAACAGCTAATTTGAATACAAGTTTATTTTA